AAAGGAAACATACTGAAGATCCAGCAACCATTGGGTTTTGGTTTGGGCGTGCCATTTTGGTAGCATGGGCTCTCAAGATATCCTAGATTAGATCGAGGGAAAACAGTCTCACTGACCCCATCTCGAACATCTAGGCACTGTGGTTTTTCTGAAGAGGACAAGGGGGGAGAAGGAAGAAGAGGAGAGAGAAGCGACGGGTTTATATCCGGAACCGGCAAGTGAGTTCGACATGTGATGATCATTACCTGCCCGGTTCAGGAGAGCAATTCCCTCTTTCCAATTTTGTCGTTTAGTCACAGTGAAATCGTTTGTGAATGTCCAAGAAGTTCAAGGTATAGTAGTAAATACACAGGTAATTCGAGTCTACTATAATCTTATCTATAAACGAAACGGGAAAATACCTACTTAAGAGGAAGGCTTAGGTAAAAACGAAAACGTAATACCGAGCTTAATACTGGTAAAAAGCATTAATCATTCGATCGTTCTTTCAATGGCCAAGCCATCTTCGTCCAAACTACATAGCATTATCATTAACAAGACTTCCTTTAATCGATGAAACAAGATCCAAAAGTCGGCTGCGATGGTACAATCCACTAACGCAATACCAGTCGTCCATCGATACTAGCTCGTGATACCGAAAGGTAAACCTGGCCCAATCTATTTGAGTTCTCGATTTTATAACATCTTTTATCTCGAATATAAGGTCGCAATCAAAGCGGGCGTGCCAATATGAATCAGGAAGTCTCCATTGAAAGGCATCAAGCATATTGAGAATACCTTGATGAGCCCTCTGAGGTGAATAACTGTCCCTAGTTATTGCATCGATAATAAGAATAACGATGTCAACCGGAATATCTGCAACTATGAAAGGGCGCAGCGATGGCAGGCTCCGGATCCTTGCACGCTCAGACTCTCTGGTCTCGTGTACAATCAATTCTTGTATATCAGGGATGTTCAGCCCACTCGATGCCACATGCGAGCGACAGGGTAACCATGTTGGAGAGAGTGAGAATTTATTTCCGGAACAATTCTGCGTAATCCAGGGTGCTGCAGTTTCGTAGCAGGGGTATTCATCATATGTATGAAAGATGGTATAACCCCAAAGCCTTCTGTTGTTTTGCCAGTACCTCCTGATGGCTTCAATGAATGCAGGTTGGTTACTCATCACAACATCATGTCCAAGGAAACGATCAATGAGTCGCCAGCAATCTGTATGCATTAGATATCCTATGTGCTGTCCGTTTTTTCCCTTGAACCGGTCTGGCTCGAATAGGTTGGCAACATGAACATCCACAGTCCGTTTTGGACCCATTATGCCAGGTCTGGCACAGGACACCGTGTTGGTTGAATCGGTAATGGTAGGGATAGGCTGCAAGCTGGTCAAGTCGTAGTACGTGCAAATGGTCGGAGAGCTTCCAGAAATAGACAGACGGTGGGACTGTGAACTGTCGACAGCTAGAAAATCCATTCAGGACTGGACACGAACAGGCCGTAACTGCTTTGGAAGATACTCACTTGCGCGGTAAAAAGAATTCCATAGAGGTGAACCCCTCTTAAAATCCGTGGGTTCTGGGTCTTTGGCTAGCACAATGAGGGTTTTCTTCCAGTTGCTTCTCCTTTTTACTATCGCTCCGCACACCTCATAGTCTCGTAATCGAGTTTGGACATGTTCCAACATCGCCATTTCAAGCCCGCATAATATGCAGACCTGAAAGTCATGATGAGTTCTAACCATCTTGTCTGATGATGCGCAAGACTGACAAAGAACAATATTGAAGGATGAAGAGAAGGTGGCCTAGTTGTTGAAGTAACTACTGCCCTGTTAGAATGACGCGATGGTGACGAAAATGATGATTGGCCGGATCAGTTAATCCATCAAATAAAAATTAGGCTTACTTTGTTGAGGCCTTGGGTTTGGTCGCTTTGGATTGGTTTGAGAGTGATATCTCATGCTGGCGATGTTTAATTGGCTTGGAAAAGGAAATCGACGACAAGGTTATGTATGCACCGCCACCAGCCAACCGCATATCCCAACAGATACCGACTTCGGAGAACACCTACCTATTCTCCATTTCTTACTCATATTTATCACTGTTTACATGTCACATTGATCGATCTTTCGGACACACTGAATGGGCCGAGGAAAAATTGAACTACAGTGGCAGAAAATTACAGCAATGGAAATAGATACGAATAAACAAAACACTAATCTTCCGATTCTTAACATTTAAAACTGCATATTGAAATATTCACATTCACATAACTTGGATTCGTTTACCCTCCATTCCGATTTTAAACCCATTTTCGCCTGACCGACTCCACCCCGTAAAGTAAACGCAGACACCGATAGCCAAGAAGCCCCCGGCTACATACGGACGGGATTTGCATGATCAGTTCTCACTCCCATTCCTTCATCAGCGTGTTCGCCTCAATTTCCTTGTCGAAGTCGACCAGATGAGTAGAATGACACCAAGGCTTGATTGTTTCTTCCTTCCGAATAACGCTGGCAAAGAACTGACACCACTTGATGCGCGGATAGGTCTCGTTGATCTCCGTGCGGGTCGTCTGATGGATCAATTCGCCAAAATCTTTCACATGTGGATGAAACCCGGTATTGTCGTACGTTGTAGCTAGTTGAATGAGTTGGCCGAAATAGGTGATTGTGCCGTCCACCCCCATGTCTTCGTGACGGATGATTGCCTCCGCAGCTGCCTCAGCCTGGTCCAGTGTGGCGCCATGGCCGTGCAATACACTGAGAGCTTTGATACCCCCATAGATGTCGAACGACATTCGTGTCGCCGTCAGATTTTCCTCTGCAGTGCCGAGATCGTGGAGCAGGCATGTCAAGGCCCAGGTCACTGGGTTAAGGTCGGTAAACTGCTCTGGGAACTGTTGCTTCGAAATGGCCATTCCTATATACAGGTTAGATATAAATTCGGGGTTTGCCCAAGATTAGGGGAGAGGCTTGTATACCATAGAAATAGACCCTCATCGAATGGTTGAAAGTTTCGGGATGCAAGGTCTTCTTTGCATAATCCAATGTCTGTGCAACTGATGGTTCTTCAAATGGGAATTTGATTTCGTCGAGCGACAGCGGCCCTGGTTGGTTGATAAACGGTCTGTCGCCAAAGATGGCGCCTGCATCGGCAGGCATGCTGGTCCAGCCATTGGCTTTAACTTCGTCTTGACACATGGTGCAGATAAAAGCTTCGAAAAATGGTAAGAGTTGGAGTTGGAGTCTAGGTGTTATAAGACTTAAGTCGTTATTGGCAGGAAAGATTTCTGTTTTGACATCACCACAGAAAGTGGCATAAAGAGCCCTTTAAGTATTCGCTTTCAGGACTTTGAGCAATATCGAGCGCATACTCGGAATATTCTCGGATCCTCCCTGGCCAACAATGGTATACATCGTGAAAACGTACTTTACTCGATTAGGAAGTTATCTCATGTGGTTCTCTTGGCATCTTGTGGGGGCGATTAATAAGCCCCACTACCCAACTAGGAAGTTACACCAGGTGCGCATACATCTTAAGCTTTTTAGCTGATCTAATTTCTTGTGGCGAACTCTGTGCAATGTTTACGTCGAAACCTGAATGTTTGTTTTCGGATGATGAGTGTAATTAGTGAGTCTCATTGCCTATTTAGGAAGTTATACTAGGCGAGCATATAGCATCGTATCTGAATGATCTTGTGGCAAATTATATATAATGTTCACAAGCTGAATATTTTTTTTTATCGTATGATCGATTTCATTGGTAAACCCCATTCTAGGAAGTTGTACCAGGCAAGCGCAAGGTCCAAGTCTTCTTAGTATGTAGAGTCATCTTTTCTTATATTAGGTACTACATATACTCCATCACGATTTATAATGTCTCATAATTCTCACAATCCTTTTCGGGGAGATCATGAACTTGCATCAGCCCATTAGGAACGGCCGTGTGGTAGTACCTACTACAACACCACTCTATTCATCCTCATCCAAGACCTATGATTCCCCAATGACGAACACCCATCTTGCTAACCCAGTATGTATTCGGACAATAATCTCGTCAGTTTACGTGCAATATGTGGATGTGGATTTCCGTTATTAGAGTCCACTCGGATTTGGTGGTTTTGCAACCACCCTGATGACCCTCTCGCTTTCTATGATGGGCTTTCGGGGAGTCTTGAATCAGACAGTATTCATTGCAAACCTCTGCCTCCTCGCGGGATTAGGGCTTCTTATATCTGCACAATGGGAGATGGTGAAAGGGAACACCTTTGCTTATACAGTGCTTGCTGCATTCGGTAAGCTATAGAATTAATTGATCTATTGGATTTGGGTGTTAATCGCACGGAACTAGGATGCTATTATGGTGGGTATGGTGCATTATTCATGCCCTCGCTGGGTGTGATAGAGTCATACGGCGGTAAAACATCCGAATACTACAACGTATTTGTGTTCTATCAGCTAGGTTAGTCGCTCTCTTCCGCGATATTGCAGGATTTGACTCACACGTCCAATAAAATCTGGTGCTTTTTGAATTTCTTCTCTTCCTCGCTTCTCTCCCTCGCTTCTCTCCCAACGTAAGTATAGACATGGACTCACAAAGTTACATCAGCGACCATGTTAAAAGGTTTCTGAAGGAACGCCCCAAACGTCATCGTCTACGCCGCTCTTGAGTTATGCTATATCCTTAATTGGACTGCTTATTTCATGAGAGCCGATGGTAGGTTGGATTCAGGCGACGATCTCACCAAGGCGGCTGGTGCCTTTGGTTTCATATCAGCTACGGCTGGGTTCTACCAGTTGGCACATGGACTATGTCAGGATACATTTCCATTCGAAATGACATTGTTCGAAACGAAACACTTTTTCCAACGATAACGTGTTGGTTGGCTGTGACAGAGTCGATGGAATGAATTGTGTTTGAAAGTAGAGCTTTTAGAGCTTTGAGGGTTTATCCCATCTCATCCCTTCCACTCAATAGCAACTAGTGGCCTTGCGTTCCCATACAATTGCCCGGGTGGTCTAGTGGGTTAGTTCTTCCTGTTCTCTGATCATCTCGATCTATCTTTACTAATAAAATCACAGTATGATTCTCGCTTAGGGTTCACCCTTAGCATATATGCGAGAGGTCCCGCGTTCGATCCGCGGCTCGGGCCGATTTCTTTTTGCCATTTTTTTGTGGACACTACTTGGTATATATATATATCCTACTAGATTGAGGCCTCAGAGGCTTCAGGTTCGAATTGTGGCACCGGCTCTAAACACTACCACATTCATCCATGCTCACTCTTCTTCCAGGGTCTTTTTAAACTTCTGCACCCCGAAGCAATTTTTATATCGGAATAAATTTCTACTTTTTACCCGGAAATTCTTTTCTTTAAGTAGACAACAGCCGTTGTTGTGTGTGTATGCCATTCCGCCCCCAACGCCGCCAAGAAATGTGTTGGGATCGGGGTGTTTGCAGTAGATTATGGAACAAGGCTCAGCTGCGAGGAAATGACAGTCTCAACTGCGCAGGATTCAGGGGGTTGATCAAAATGAGGCGATTTAAACGAGGAAAAGAGGTCATTTTTCTATCATAACAAGACATTGAAATCGTCAGTAAATCAGAATAGAATCAGGCCTTTTAACCGCAGAGATTTTCACTTAGTGATCGCTCAGTAATTTTCATTGCTCCAACCTCTAGTAATAGTATGTATGTATGTATACATGTATATATATATACAGATATATATCCATAATATTCTGGGAGATCTGCTCTTTATTGAATCGGCGAACTAGTGGATGCAGTTACTCGATAATATTCTCAATTCTGTTCTCATTAAAGTGTCCAGTATTTGTCCACAATCCATATATCTATAGAGATATAAAGTACTAACTAGTCCATATAAAATTTTTTTTATTTAAAATGCCAGATAATTGGCCAGCCTCTTCATTCCTCGCAAGGCTGTCACCACGGGGCAGACCACAAAAATCCTTAAAATAGACTCTAGCCGTTAGTCAAGTGCCTGAGCGCAGCCTTGTCCGTTTGCTTACACTTGATTTGATTCTGGAGAAGTCCCCCCACACGAAGAGGCTGTCTCTGGCGAACAAGCGGTCGAAGAAGCCCAAGAAGATGCAGGCTTATATTAGTTTGAATTAGATTTGTTTTCACAGCCTCACAACTGGTATATTGACAAATATACAAGAATGGTCAAGTGTTTCCCATCGAGCAGACGAAATCCACGGCACTCCTCCCCGCCGTGTTTCCTTGCTATTCAGGATGTCTCCGCCGATTCTTGATCGTGCCACATACTCCTCCATACGCACTTTTTCGTCTGCGCGCCAGCACGACCCGGACAGGTCGACAGCCCCGGCTTCTCCACCGACCGAAAAAGATGTTCCATTCCCTGCGGAATGGGGGGTTGGATGGCGGTGTCCAACCCTGATGGTCGGACTGTTTTTATGTGGCTTGTTGTTATCTGTCGGTCATCATCTATATTACAACAGCCTCGACAACACCGTGGTCAATTCAGCTGAGCAACAAACCTGGGCCATTCGGATCGGAACCGGGTTCGCCTTCCTCGTCAAAACATTCTATGTGGCAGCTATTGGCATTGCGGCGGTACAACAGATGTGGACGACACTTCGCCGACGGAGCATGAATCTTCGTGGGATTGATGCCATGTTCGGTGTGTTGAACAATCCCATCAACTTTCTCACTCCGGAGATGTGGGTATTTGCAAGTACACTCAGTGTTATCGCAACCATATCATGGTAGGTAGGGGTTTGCTCCTAGGGGATATAAAGAGGACACAATAGCTAACAGTGTACTACATATCTAGGCTGGTTCCGTTGACCGCGCTGGTTACCCCCGCGACACTCTCCGTAAATCTACTGACCAAACCCAATATTACTCGGGCACACGTTCCCACTGTCAATTTCACAGACGAAAATTTCTGGAAATCGTGGGCGTTATTTGAAGGAGTGGGACGGATTGAAAACCCTTCGTCTGCCATCAGTCGCCTGTTCACTGCAGTCTCCTCATCGGTGGCCGTAGTTCCGTTTCCGCCGCCATTCCCCAACTCGTCCTACACCCTCGAGTTCTGGGGCCCGTCATACAAATGCCAAACTCTGGATGAGACTATCGCAGAGATGAAGGGGATCAGTTTCACCAATGGGTATGATCGGAATTATAGCTCTTTTGAGGATGTCTGGCATCAGCTAGTACACAACTCAAGCGACGACCAGACTCCATTTAGCGCTGTCTATCGAGGAAGCGCACCTGGGGTCTTAAACAACACGCTTCTGATGTATGCGCCGGGGGAAAACACCGCGTCGGACCACCCAACTGACAAAACATCCCTGGTCTGCCAGCTCTGGAACACATCCTATGTGTTGGGGGTCAACAACACCGACGGCATCCAGACCCTCGCCCCCATCTCAATCGATTTCGTGGCTGCCTCCAACTGGGACGACACCGCTGGTAACGAGATCTTCTTACGAAATGACGGGCCGGAGGTGAATGCCGGGTTTTATATCACGCATTTGCTCTTCTCAGCTCTCATCTCTGGCAGTTTGACGATCGGTTCGACCGGATCCCTCGTGGGCGATGGAACGCCGCTGATGCGGTCTGGTCTCTTTGACTGCCCGGAGCTGTGGAACGGGACCTACAACACTATTGTGAGTGTCGTGGAGTCCGATTCTGCCAGCTACTGTCGCAACAAGACGCTGGGCCGAGCGCTGGAAGACCTCTCGCGCAACTTTACCTACAGCCTGCTGAGTCTGAACGCCGCCAACACCAGTGTGCCGGTCACGGTATACTCGCCCCAGAACTTCTATGCGTATAATCGGAAGAACCTCTTTGTGGCGTATATTGTCGCGGCAGGGGTCACAATTACGTGTATCGCGGTTGGCCTGTTTGCCCTGTGGGACAATGGTGTTTCGCATAATACGTCCTTTTCCGGCGTGCTGAGAACAACGCGAAATCCGGATTTGGATTTTTTAGCGACAGGCTATTGCTTTGGGTCTGATGAGTTGACCAAAGAGGTGAGGAGGGTGAAGTTGCGATTCGGGGAGATTGAGACGGCCCCTCAGACTTTCAAGCACGCGGCATTTGGGTATGAAGACTCGGTCACTGATCTGGTGAAGGGTGAAAAATATTACTAGCGGTGGGTGCTCGGCTCTAAAAAGTAGATCCATTTCAACGGATAAGACAGATCCAAATCGGTATCTAGTATGATTATAATACGACCTAATCAGTTCTCCTCCATCTCAAACTCTCCTGTCCAAAGTCTGTCGAACCATGCTCGTTGAAGTTGGGCAGTTTATCCACGTCCCAAGCTGTCGACGAACAAAGACATGACAGACGCAATAGGGAGCCACATTGTACACAATTCAACAGCAGATTCTCCGTGCTGATTTGTTGTGGGGTGGCCCATCTAAGAAATTCATCGTACTGATAGTCTTCACACAGGGTGGGACTCGAGAGAATATACACAAGCCTTTGGCCATAATGAGATGGAGAGGGTGAAAAAGTATGCACATGACCGGATGAATTATTACAGGTCAAGCAAGGATTAGGAGCTCCCTTCCGACGGCCTTTCCCTTCTTCTATATTTCTCACCAAATGAGCAGCTGCAGCACTAATTGAAAATCACGAGGCATTGTGCGAGGATGATTGGCTGCCCATGAGTTGGACCCGTGTATGACACGGCCCTACGGAGTCCTGTGAGCAGCAGATCCCCAGCTCATGCATCCCCGGGATAACATTTCCTTTCATGCAGTGCCTTGACGATACGAAGGAAAATGTTATCCGGGCCATAAGCTGAGGATCTGCGGCTGCCCCTCGCCCTCATGAACCCGGAATTGCGATAGGGAAGCACACTACAGAAGAGCCGTCTCCAATCGCATCAATCAAGCTCAACCATTGAGGTGATCCTTCCTGTCGTTTCCCAATTGTTGTCACTCATGTGGGGACAATATCGATAGTGCTTCTCCACCCCCGGACTCTTAGTGGGGGGAGTTTGTTTCCCGGGTCTAGGGTATGAGCTAGGATGATATAGTCTGGGAATCTGGAAAGTGAGCAAGCGTGGAGAAAAGCCTAATTCTTGCGCAAGACCCCTCGACTGCAAGGTTCGCAGACGGCAATAAATACCTACCAGGGTGTCCCAGCGCCATGGAAACCATCCCAGTCAAATTTCACATCTTCAAGCGTCCCGAGCCATGTCGACAACAAGTATACCCGCCGCCTCTCCGCCGAGCCCTGAAAAGGACTCTGGTCAGTCGGGTGACATTGAGAAATCTGATTCCGCTGAACTGGTGAACGCCGACAACGTAACTGCGACTAAGGAGATGTCGTACATTCCCCAGACCGACGAGGAGTACAATGTCACTTTCAAGACATGGATCGTCGTCTGGGTAAGTAGTAGCATCCCATCCTACTCCTGACAGCACCGTGAGCTAGACTTACCCTGGCACCAGATCCTCGCCTGGTCCTATGGGATCTCCTTCTGGATTGTCCCGACCTACAGCGGAACTCAGGCCGTCATTGCCACTGAGCTCGGCGACGTCACCAAGCAGACGTGGTATGTGCCGGTGTACACCATGTGCGTGACCATGGCATTCATGTAAGTAGTTTTGTCCCTAGAATCTAACTCGCCAAAATCTCCCGTCTGACACATTGTGGCCTCTTCAGGGTCTGCGGCGCGAACTCGGACCTGTTTGGACGACGATGGTTCATCATCGGCGGTAATATTTTGATGTTTATCGGCTTTATTGTTGGAGGCACGGCCAAGAACAATACTTCGCTAATCGTCAGCTCGGCTTTTATCGGCTTTGTAGGCGCCCCGCCTGTCCTGGAGGGCAGCTGAGATTCAAATGCTGACACCTAGATATCATCTTAGGGAGGTGGAAATGCCCAGCTGGCTGCGTTCGCTCTGCCTGAGCTCCTGCCCAACAAATGGCGCGCCTGGGCCATTGTTCTGGCAGATATCGGCGTTTTGTTCGCCGTTGTTGTCAGTCCCATTGCGGGCCGTTTCGCCATTGTGCAACCGGGTGCCGTACGTATATAGCACTGAATTGCTCGACCGAAGACATCGCTGATACATATATAATCCCAGTGGCGCTGGTTGTTCTACGCCCCAGCCATTGCAGTTGTCCTGTCGATCATTGGCCT